AGCCAACCAACTTTATTGAGAATCTGGAATGGCCTTCACTTCAACTGGCCTTGTGCATACCTTTCAAACCGTTGAAATACAAGTGGCGCAAACGCTGTCAAATGACTAAAATGCATCAAAATACATGTACAAGGCAACATCATTTGCTGAAGTGTGTTTTCCTTTGAGAGAGACTGAAACTGTGTTGCTAAAGAAGGGCCAGAAAGAAACAAAGACAACTTAAGCTACAAATCCAAAATCAAAACACAAGACCTTACAAAAATCACATTTCCAAACAACCACAATTCGTCTGTGAGCCAACATCAAGGTAGACTAACTTTTACATTTTGTTACACTGCATGTTATTGTTCTTCCGCATATTCAACTCCTTGGTATCACAGCTTCTGGTGTCAATCTACAGGGTGTTATATTTACATTTCTGGACGGTCGGTCACAAGCCAGTCCCTGATGACTTATTCATTAATTCCAGTATGTTTGCGCAAAAGGTGGGAGTGAAAACGTGTAACCTCTTAATAATCGATGACACTTAATGAGAGAGAACAAGGGTTGAGGCACAGAGGGATTTTGGGTACGATTTAAAAAAAAAAAAAAAAAAAAGACTAAAAGTGGAGTTTATTTTGGGTCCACAACAGTTTGTCTCCACTTCCAGAGCTCAGCAACAACCTGAGGATGGACACAAAACAACCAAAATACTAATCAAGTCGACTTAAGACGCCGTATTAACAATGATTATTTACATGCCGGCGACGCATACCTTAGCATCAGAGACTCTAAAAGAATTCTTCACAAAGTTCTCAAATTTGGCCTGGACTTTGGGCAGCGTTACTCCCTAAAACAGAGCCAAAATGACTTACAGGACCAAGACATTGGCTGAAGGCATTATAGAAAATTGAGCAAATAAATAAACAAACATCAGAGTGACATCACCAACCTTCTTCACTGCTTCAGTCATCTTTGCTTGGATTTCAGGAAGTGGCAGAGTTATTTAAAGGGTCGTTGGGGATTTTGGTGATTTTGGTGATTTTCCCACTTTTTGTTTGGGGGTCTTCACCTTTACAGAGCGATGGATGACAATTAAGTGATGAATTGAGCTTTCCTGTAAATTTGCTCATCTTGCTGAATTTGGTTGAATTTCAAAGGATTCAACAATATGAATGACCGCATAGATGTAGGAAAAGGTATACTCTATGCTAATGAGGCTAAGTGGCAATTCCTTTTTTTTTCCCTTGAGAAAAATTAAAGACTAAACACCAGTTACCTGCTTTGGGGTGGGAGGATTGGCTTTTGGGCTCTTGCCGTTCTGAGCGGATTTTCGTACGGGCTTGGCCTGTTGAATGCAGAATCATTGGACAACTGTAACATCAGACCTCGCTCAAATATTCTAAATGTTCACCTTAACAGGGGTTTCTTCCTCCTCCTCGTCGTCGTCATCATCTTCATCATCATCATCGCTAAGCAAAAAAAACAAAAAAAGTCCTCATGAAAATATGGCACATGCAAAAGCTTGTTTGAATGTCCCCCAAAAGCCTTATTTTTCCATTTTATAATGCAATTTAAACTCCACTCAAAGAGAAAGTTTGTAATGCAATGCAAAAATGATGAATACGCACTCGTCATCATCGTCGTCGTCATCGTCTTCATCCATATGAACGTCCATCTTCATTTTTTTCTGCACAGTGTTCAATGCGAATGAGAGCCCGTTTCATTAAAGCGTCAAAGCACAGAACATAAAAAAAAAAAAAAATCCATTGTATAGGACGGAGTGAAAATAATCAAGCCAGCCGAGTCCACACAACAGTAGTGCGTAGCATAGTCGTTAATGTCATCATAAACAAACCTGAGACTTGGAAGCAGGAGAGGCGGCAGGTCTTTTCTTGGAAACTTTGACATCTTCTTCTTCTTCCTCCTCCTCCTCTTCACCATCATCATCATCATCATCATCATCACGCAACCGATTGTAATCCATTGCTGCAGCGGGAATTCAGAAGAGTTGAAGAAATAACGTGCTTGTGGTATTTGATGAAACACAAATTTTTTTTTTCAGAGCATGTACAAACACACTTACAGACAAGATACTGCCCACTGATATGGATGGGACCGGCGCCACACTTCAGACGGAGAACTGCGGGCGGTGGAATGGAGAAACCTCCAAGGGACACCTGAGAAAAATGTCACAATCAGAAAATAGACAAAGAAAAAAGAACAACTTCAATCTTGTGTTTGCAATTAAATGAAAGTTCCAAGTCAGGACATCCTTTCAGCTGTTTCGGATAGTCGCTACGCACATCCCATTATCGCCACGTTGTGATTCAATTATATAGAAGTTCTAAGGAAATTTTAATGTTCAAACATCATCTTTGAAAACCTATTTCAATAAATGCTTGCGTGTTTCATGTGCTGGCTCAAGTCTCATTAAACACGGAACCCGTCCTAGGGTGGAAACTCACACTTGGCAGGGTGGAAGGCTTCAGAGAAGCCAGTGTCGCTGTCACCTTCTCACCATCACAGTCTTTTCCTTCCACCTCCACAAGGTGAAGCTCATCTTTTGTAGCCGGGTCAGTACATGCCTGAAAAGATCAAAATTCAGCTCAGTTTCGAACTTTAAATCAACCGTTGTCTTTTAGAAAACCCGCAATTATGTTATAAGCAAATGTATGCATGGTTACCATCCGCAGATCCAGCAGATGCTCAAAGCCATCGTCGTCAGGACAGAACTTCACTTCCTTTCCAGATTCAAGCACACAACCTAACGAAGCAAAGCTCATATGAATCAAGACACAAAGAACCCATTTCAACCTTCATTTAAATACAGTATAAAGAAATTCCGGTTCGGTATATCAGTGATCCTCGCTGGACAGGTTGCTAATGGTCGTTATCAAGATACAGGATTTTATGGTTGCAAAAAGCTTAATTTTAACTAGTTTACATAGCGGGGGTAAAAAAGTGATCATGCAACACAAACTTGCATGTTCAGTGTGCACTTCTGTAACCGTTTTTCCATATTTTATGGATAACAAATGATTACTAGACAAGTATTTAAATTGTAACAGATGCATTTGGTGTTTTTTTGTGAATATCTCAAGACTGTAAAAACTGGTGTTTCTTTTCTCTGGCCTTCGTTCGTTCAATAAAAAGAAAACCTGGCGTGAACACGTGGGGGCGCCACAGTACCAACGTGGATATTTCCACATGGCCTGGCCTTAACCTTTACCGATGAGGAAACATTCCATCCAATATGAAAACGAATTTGGGAAAGTAAAGTATCCTCACTCAGTAAACATACTTAAAAATACCGTACAAACTAAATCGGCAAGAGGAACAGAATTAATATACGACACTGCAAGCACAGTCTTTGTGTTGAGTACATAGACCACTACGAAACGTATAAAGACAACATCAACGTCGTCACCGGGTTATTGAATGTTTACATCAGACGGTGGGGGAAAGTTATACTACGAAATGGCGAAACATCAACGTACAGGAAAATTTAAGAGGGAGGTGGGCACCGTGGTCCACATGTGAGAGCCGACGTTGAGGCTGCTAGCCTGCTACTTAGCCTGCCTTATCACCATCGAAAACAACCAATTTAACTCATCGACACAAAAGCAATAATGCAGGCCGAATTGTTATAGGACGATATCAAGAAGGGGCTAAATACAAGTCAAGAGATGACACGTTTTAATATGAATATTTCTCGTGGAAATAAGGGAGACGCCATGCTTGGGGGCCAAACACGTGTGTAGCAGCATTGGACCAGTGTGACAAACGTACACACTCACCTATTTGGACAAAACGTGTTAGCTCAACATATTATCATTTCACGATATACAATGATGCGTAAGAAAGCGAAGTTTTTTTTTTCATTTTCCTTTATGTCTCCCACTATTGCACGAAGAGAACACACACGACATTTTTCGCATTTACATCAATGAAAGTGACTTACCGTAAATAAACATTTGCGGTGGCACTGTTTCATCGTCTAAAACCTTTAAACCGTTCATTTTGTAAAATTAGGAGACAGTAACGATGCAACTGCAAGAAACTGATAAGTGGGGGGAAATTGATGCTGCAGAGACGCGACGCTTCTGCAAGAGTGAGCTAACTGACGTGTAACTCCACCTCCTTCCTCGCTTCTTCTTTTGCTGTTTGCGGCGGTTTGTGGACTAAATCAGCGCCTTACCGCCACCCACAGATCTGTATTAATTACTGCGATGGTTTAATTCGTTCAACTTGTTTAGATTCTCAACACTTCTTTAATTTTGACAGGATAAATAAGAAGTACACAAAGACAGCTTTGAATCCACTGTGCTCAATCGTGCATTCATAAATACATAGATCATTAAAATACATCACAAATACACAGGATCAACGCTAAATGGGAACATAACTGTGAAGGGAACAAAAGCCATGTGGTATTTTAAACATTTTGTTCGAAATAATTGACTGAAAAGTGGGCCGTGCAATATTTTCGACCACTTGACTGTCAGTGCAGCCAATTTATTCCAGAAGTTCCCAGAATTTCGGAATGATCCAATGTTGACCGAAATGACCCATGATGATAAATTTGGTACGCCCATCCATCCATCCATTTTCCGATCCGCTTTATCCTCACGCGGGGGTGCTGGAGCCTATCCCAGCCGTCTTCGGGCAGTAGGTGGGGTGACACCCTGGACCGGTTGCCAGCCAATCGCAGCGCACACAAAGACGAACAACCATCGGCACTCACACTCACACGTAGGGACAATTTAGAGTGTTCAATCAGCCTGCCGTGCATGTTTTTGCAATGTGGGAGGAAACCGGACTACCCGGAGAAAAACCCACGCAGGCCCGGGGCGAACATGCAAACACCACACAGGAAGGCCAGAGCCGGGATCCACCCCACGACCTCTGCACTGTGAGGTCGACGCGCTAATCACTGGACCACCGGGTCACCCAATTTAGTATGTCTTTTCGTTTTTTTATTCATTTTGAAACAAACTTTTGAAATAAAACACATTACATTTAAGAATTTGCATTTTTATTTGTATGGCTTAGAAATTTATTTGTGACAATCAGACAAATCAATTGCAAAGTAAGACCTGAGGCTAGGATATCCCACTGATACTGTACATGAAGGAGCAAAAAGCTGCATTGCCTGTAAAAACAACCATGATTAATATTTCAGTGCTCCACCCACTATGGCCTGTGCATTTCCAATGACAGTTGCATTTTTAACACCACAACAGACTAAAATTGCGGGCAAGTGGAGAAATCACCATATTCGATGTTTGCATTGTTTACATTTTTGAAACACACTAAAATCAGCGATGGAAAAAATATAGTATTTCAAGAATGTAATTCTCATATAGACATTGAGACCAGCATGTAAAAAAAAAAAGAACAACGAACGCGACCCTTAGGCCCAAATACTCTTCCCAAGACAGTTTCGCTTTACACTGCAAGCTTTACATTGACACACACAAAGCGTACAACAGATTCGCCAAGCACATTACAGCCAGAGATAAGCAAAGAATGAAACATTTAACAAACAATCGGACAAATATTTGCAGATAAACCCAGATCTTTTGGAGAATCATACATACATTTTGAGAGCATCTTTAGCCAACAGTAATAAATAAGCCTAAGCAATTACTCATGTCATTTTCTTTGACTGGCCCAACTGAAAAACGCAAGACCGTTGTACTTCCATGCCTTTCTCAGGGGTTACTTCGGGACACCCAAAACGCTGCAACAAGAATTCCAGTCCATTACTAACATCCAAGTCTTTGCGGGGAACATGTCTGCACTCAGTTCACAGCTTGATACGATGGCCAGAGAACAGACTGGAGCCACTGCTCTAATGCATCAACACATATTAACTGACGAATAGCCCTCTGATTTTGAGTATGGCAAAATCATCCCGTCCTGCCCTACATCACATTCTCAAAAAGCTGCATTGATTTCATCATGATTTCATCCTGTGAGGAGAGAGAGAAAACAAATGACCATTGTGAAGGAATGAAATGCAATACTGTACATCGATATGTAACAGTCATCCACAACATTGGCGTAACTGGAACTTAAGAAGGGAAATTATTTTTTTCTTTGGGTCCTAGTTTACAGTGGCGTAGACGTCTATTGCATCATACTGAGAGGCATCAATGTTAATACCAACAACCTCATTCATTTTTACACAGTATACAGTATATTATGATTCTGTGACAGTGTCAATTCACTCGAAGTTTACTGCATATGAATTTTGGACATACAGCTCTTGTCATGAAGTCAAATGGGTGTACGACTATAAAAGAAAAGAAAATCCCCAGTGGGAAAACACATACCTCCTGGCAGGCTATTACAAATTCCTCTAAAGTCACCACTCCATCTTTATTTTTGTCCATTTTCTGTGGCAAAAATACATAATGTTGGTCAGTAAACATAAGAAAGCTTGTGCTCACACTTACACCTAGGGACAATTTAATGCGCTCCATTAACCTGCCATGCCTATTTTTGGAATGTGGGAGGAAACCGGAGTACCCGGAGAAAATCCATGCAGGCACGGGGAAAGCATGCAAACTCCATACAAGAAGGGCGGAGCCGGAACTGAACTCTGGGCCTCTGCACTGTGGCGCGGACATGCTAATTTGCCGACCACCGTACCGCCTTTAATAAAGCCATAATGAGAAAAACTATTCGCTTCAGTATATAAAATAAAAGCTCTGTTTAAAAACTACCGACGCAGAGTATCCTGATGATCCTGGAGACTTTCCTCCTTTCCAACTGTCTCATCTTGGCTCTTGTGTCTCCATTTTTATACTATCTTGCTTGCTATATTTTTTTTCTGCTCTCTAGTTTTTGATCTACCACTGCTGACTATTGAAATTGTCCAATATGAACTCTTCTCCTCGGAAATTGATTGCTGAACTCACTTGAAAAAAAGCATCCACATGCTGCTGTGGCACATCTCCCTTCATCGCAGGGTGAGTGTACTTTCCCATCATGTCGTAAATGGCCTTCACAATCTCTGTCATTTCCTAAAAGAAAAAAACGATGCAGAGGTTGACTTTGAATCACAGGAACTGAATTTTTCCTTCCTCAATCACTGATAAGATGAATCGTGTATTTCCTTTTTTAAACATAAATAAATGGGGAGGGGGGGTGTTCTCAATATTATGTTTATAAGTGAAATAATCCACAAACGTCCACAAAATTTATGTCCATATATTTTTGGTGACTCCAAAAGCATTTTTTTTCTTGGACTATTTTCGTTGCAAAAACGTGCGGTGACAACAGTTGATGTTGCTGTCACCCATTGGACAAAGCACTGACCCTTTGTTGAGTGACTACTCTGTTTCAACGATATTTCTTTGTCCAAGACGTGACAAAATTATACCTAAATCCAACACAAATGGCTCCTGCAACAATGTAGACAAGACACCAGACAGTTGAGCACTTTGACACTGGTTCTCCATTCCATGAAAAAAAGAAAAACAACTCAAAAAGATTCAAAGATCTTGTACAGAACTTATAGTAACCCTGCCCCAAAAATGCAAACACTTTCAATGAAGTCTCTTTCATCTCTTATGTTGCCTAAAATTAAAATGCTGTGGGAAACATACCGACATCAGACAAATGGAGAGGAAAAAAATCATGTTGGTTGGTAAACCACTGCATAGGGGAAAGACTTGGGATTTTTGTTGGTCTTTCGAACACCTAGATAAGGACAAAGAGTAATTTATAGTACCTATACAAGTGATCAATCTGATCACCCCCAGAATGTGGCCATGCCGTATAAAATTTGCACCACCTGTGTGATATCGAATCTCTCGAAGCAGCCTGACCTGGACTCCATGACATGTCATAACACATCACCCATGAAGAGGCTCGCTCCCCCCTGCCCTGACCTGCTGTCATCCCAATGGTGATATGATCGAGGTATTAAAATAAAAATACCTGTCAGGACTATATAACACAGCAAGGTCACTCTAGGGAAGGACACAGACTAGCTAACAACATATAACTCTGTAGTAGATACTTTGCCTTTTCCATTGAGGAGCCATGTGAGTTTGTCCATGGAAAGAAAATAGACACACTGAAGAATAGATTAGACCAGTGTTGCTTCGTCATTTTTCGGGGCAGTTGCTGAAGGCGAACCTATTTGTTGCTAAAAGTTGCCAAATATCACTTTGTACGATAGAAAGTTATAAATAGATTGCATAGAGCCATTCCTCAAACTGACCAGCCATCCAACCCCTCCAACACACACACACACACACACACACACACACACACACACACACACAAAAGATGAGACATTTGTTAACTAACGGTACATTAGTTTGTTCCACATCACGCATTTTTATTTAAACTGCCCTATGAGCACAAAGTTGTACAAAACTCACCTCCCTATTTATGTAGCCATCTCTGTTAATGTCATAAAGGTGAAACGTCCATTCAAGTTTTTCCCTCAAGGTTCCCCTCAGCAGGATAGACAAGCCCATCACAAAGTCCTGACAAGCGAAAGGACAAAATGTCACCGCATCCATGGGACATCCTAGTAACTTATCTTGTGCCCCATAAAGTTGCATCTCTTTTGCGGCCGTTACCTTAAACTTTATGGAGCCGTTGTTAGTCGTGTCAAAAGCATTAAAAAGATAATGCGCGTACATGCTTGCGTCTGCAACACAAGAAACAAAACCACGTGAGATTTTGAAATACACGAGCGACGACGCAAAAATTTACCTCCGTGGGGAAAAAACTGGGCGTATATGTGTTTAAATGTCTCCTCGTTTACGATTCCGCTTGGACATTCCTGTAAAACAAAACAACATAAAAAAAAAAAAAAAGTAAAACAACTGCTTTAAAGACGTACGGAAGCCTCTGAATTTGTGGACGTAAGATGTGATTACATTCTTGAAACCACGATAGAGGATCTGGAGCTCCTGCTTGCAGAAGTTAGTTTGGGATTCCAGTTGTTCGAGAGCCTCTGGCCTGTGACACACCGTCGTCATCTCCAGCTCATCATCGGTTTTATCTGCAGAGAATAACGGCAAGCGTTGACGGCAATCCAGGACGAACTGTCTCCATTTTATGCATTGAAGAAATTCTAGAACCGTGGAAATTATAATACATGTTCCAGATATGGCCCGGTGAACACACTTTAAATCTGATTTGGCTGCAGAAGAGAATGCTTATTGAGTGGGGGGAAAAAATACCATGCAGTCAAACTGCATGAACTTGACAAATTTGATTCCCTCTTCAGAGTTGAGGGAATTGTATTAAGGGTAACAAGGTTCTCAGTGTCTGCTGTACTGTTGTGAAAGACGGCGGTTAATATTATGAAGACGAGATGGCTCAGGCCTGCCTGTGGGTAAATGTCAGTGGACGTCTCCAGCGGGGAAAAAAAACAACAACATCTCGACATCCATCAGCCGTATTATTCACACGGAAATACATTTACAAACCCGAACAAATATCCAGAGGAAAGAAACTACATTAAGTGTTATTTGCGGCCTCTTTCTTTGTGTTTTACACATAGAGCGATGAGAGAATAATACTATTTGGGTTGCAGCGGAATATTTTGGGCAAGCAACAATCAAAACACAAACAAAATAATCCTTTTCCAATATGTTTGTGAAAAAAAAAAAACACTTTAGTGTTTGACTTGACCAAAGATGATTGCCTTGCATTCATTTTAGCGGTTAAATGTTATGCTTGATTTGCGTATTCCCTTTGCTCAGTAATTCACCCGTGCGAACACAACCGTGTGATTAGAAAATAAAAAATGGTGAAAATTGAAATTGGCAGGTGTCGATAAAATGAGGGTGACACGGAGTGTGAGGAAAACGCAGCTTGAAGGTCGTGTGACAAGCCGTCTCTTGACGTCAGAAGCATGATGAGTTATTTTCTGTCAAACCGCCTGGAGGATTTATCTTGAAATAACTTCCTTTGCCAAAAGCCAAAATTGAAAAAAAAAAAATCATAATCACCATTTCTTGTCGAGAGAGTCTGCTCACATTCACAAAGCAGCATGTCCCCCCCGAGCACATGCTCGATAATTAGAGATGTGTGAGGTGGTGCTCGCGGCCCAGAAGAAACGACATCACTTGTGAATGACAACAGCGTACGTTGACACAAACAATCATGTCGTTTGTGTCAACATGCGCTGTTGTCCGAGTGTTTGTCCGAGTGCCGGCTGCTCCCATTGGTCCAGCTACGAGGTCTGCTAATGTTATCTTCTGACTGCCGCCACTTGTAAACCACATGAAACAGGTGGACAACCATCCATTGAGGCAAACCCAGCAAGAAAAAGGATTCTTTATCTACGTTACATCTTTTGCCAATAGAATAGCAATTCAATTTTAAGAAATAGATGCGATTGTGTCGGTGCAAAGATAATGCTTCACACTTTCATTGTTACAATCAGAAAGGTAGTAAAGTACAAAAGTATGCCTCTATGGTGTATAAAGTGTTCTCATGACAGTTTAGTAGATCATCACACCAACCCCCCCCACCCCACCCCCCCCCCAAAAAAACACAAATCATGTGTATAATTTCAATATTCTGTTCTACTTATCCTCTCTGGGTTCACTTGTGTGAGCCTCTCCCAGCTGAGTTTGGGCGAGAGGTGGCGTACACCCTGACCCTGACCCTTAACTCTCTGCATTACTTTCGATCTTGTAAAATTGCATAATATAGTAGTGTCGAACTGCATTCCGTGAATATTGACGATTGAGTTGATCTCCGGAGTACAGCGTGCGTAATTCGAATGCGACACAACTGCAAACGACCATCACAATAATACAAATGAATTCAAGAAGTTCCTTTTTTTTTTTTTTTTTACCTATGCATTGACGTCATCAAACAAAATCTTAGTCATCGCATCCATGGCTCATAGGAAAATGACTTCATTGTTGGCGGAGTGTTGTCTGAACACTTTTGTATTTTTCAAATGCATGTTTCACAATAAACTCTATTCGTACCATTCCATCTCTTCGGCGTAAGCAAACATACTGCATGTGTCAGATTCAAATCACCGTTGTCAGTGAGCATCCTAACATCTCTTTCTGGTACACAGCTCCAAATGTATCATTCATCCTGATTCCTGACAGATTGTTGTTCACTCTCTCATGCCCCTTCAACCCAGTCTCCATGACAACAGGCTTCTCATGCATGACGATGGGAGAGAGGTAAGATATGTGAGCTGGGTGTTAATTCACATGCAGCGCTTGTTTCTCTCTTTCGCTACCTTTTAAGTGGAGGAGCCCATGAGTACACTTGCCCCTCACCCCCGTGCACATATTTAAGGGTCAGTGACAGTGATTTTGCTCTCTACTTATCTACGAGGACAGCCTACTTGACGGCACACTGTCATCTCTCTCTCTCGTAACCATGGCACATGAGATACGACTCTCATGACAGTATCAACAAGAGTGGCTCGTCATGGAGTTGCTCTATTCTGTTCATTTGACTGAACATTGATCATTGTTCTGATTTTCCTGTACAAGGAACAGGGTGCTATTAGCATATCTCCTATGTAAATATATTTGGTTGATTATCACTGCATCCAGTAAATCGACAAAACTGTTGCGGTGTTGTTTTTGTATTTTCACAGAAATAGAGTATCCACACGCACACACACATGCACAGAAAGACAATGAATGTGTTCATTATTATTGATCTATTCAGTCAGCACATGTTGCGTCTTGTGCGGCAAAAAAACAAGAGCGCGACTTCCATAAATTTCCCTCCCCTCTTACTTTAGTTTGGACTAATGTTGACATACCTCTTGGCGGTCTTCTCTGCTTGGTTTGCATGGTCAAAGTTCCCACCACTGCACCCATGTTGCCACAGTGGTAACCAGCCTGGCCAACCACAGCCCAGATTTGTAGTCCTTTTATTTCTGGGACTCACTCGTTGCCTCCTTTCACAGCAATGGATCTTAGAGGGGATTTCCTCTCGCAGGTTTTCTCTGAGAGTCGATTCTCCCTGGCGTGATGATTCCCTTGGATTTCTGAGCTCATTCTCAAAGACGCACATGAGCTGCTCCTGCCTTCCAGCACCACTCCCTCTTTTCTGTGGCTCCCTCCGCTCTATCCTCCCCTCTTTCCAGTTCCCTGCCTCCTCGTGGTCTAATGTTGTTGTGGCATGCTGCTATACTAACGCAGTACTCACAAATAACACCGCTGGTAAGTGAATGGCAGCGGGTGAACGACAGCTGAAGCCGATACAGATGAATGTTCAGGGCTGGTCATCGTGAACTGTCCGACTATCCGTATGTGTGCACGAGAATGACTGCAGACACCGTCAGCCATGGAATTCGTTTTGTACAAAATAAGTCCATTTTGTTTTGGTGCTGCATGTTGTTGCTTACAGGATGAGAGGGCCATTAATGACGTTCATGTTACACATCCTTCATTTCATTCAAATGTTAACTGCTTTGAGGGAAGGAAAGCTGTGAGCGATCCTGATCTTTCTAGAATCCATCTTTTTTTCTATCCCGCCTATCCTCATATTGATTGTGGATGACCTCAAGTCTCACCCAGCCGACTTTGGGTGAGAGGCATTTTACATCCTTGACGGGTCGCGATTCAATCACAGTATTTTTTCCAAGAAAAAGCGGCCACTTATAGAATAGTCCTGCTTATATAATAGAATACGGAACAATGTCATTTTTTTAAGGCTTGAGACATGTTTATTTAAGAAATGCAAAGCACAAAATGATACCACTGTGGGGTTCTGTGCATGCCCGTGGTTAGCCGAAGGCCCCCCCAGCAATAGAAAAGAGACCTGAGATAAGAATCACATAAATTGTGTTTGCATGACATTGTTTTCTCTACATTTTTATAGCTTCTGTCTGTTGCTCTGGAGGGAAATCCAGTTCTGCATTCACAAGCCTACAGCCGTGACCTGTGCAATTCCCTTGACAGATGTTTGCCATCTCCAACTGCATTACCCCCTGCACAGTGATGTGCCAAGGTTGCTGCACTGCAGTCTATAACTTCATTATCTTTTCATTAGCTTCTCAACAACTCATGAGCTGCAACACAGCACTAACACACAGGCGACCTCGTCACTATTTCTTCCTCAGAAGCACTAAGTAAATGTTGCAGCATTGTACATAAGAATCAGGCAAGTACACTGAAAAAAAAAAACCCAACTCTTTATTGAATTTAGCCGATTATATTTCATTAAGTGGTTGCACGAAATAAAATCATCTGGATCCGGAAAAAAATGTATGTGGATCCAAGTGATTTCATTTTGTACAAGAACTTGGCAAAATAAATTGAGTAAATTCAGGGCACCATTTTTACAGTGTAGATCAACACTGCACACAGTGTCAACCGTGGCACTGCAAGAATATTTGATAATTTCCGGTGTGTTATTTATACTTTTATACATTTTTTTGTACTGAGCATGCAGTATTTTGTGTGTGTGTGTGGTATTCATCATATTTTGGGAGCAATGATTTGTTTTCGCTGTCACCCATGGGACCTCTTGCGGTAGATGTCTGCATAAGTGTTGATATGAAAAATCTGTGCTATTTCAAAGATGCAATTCAATGCTTTGGAAAGACTGAATTGACGTATTCAAGATAAGCAAAAAATCTATTATTGAATCCTAGAATACTTGCAAGATGTAACATGCATTTATTTCCACTACGATTATGGAGTCAGCAGAAGGCTTTTTAAGCAACCAAATAAAGACATGCAGAGAAGTGACTTCATACGTTGTGTCTACTATTAAGGACTTTTTACACGAAATGTCTTGTGGCGGTGTATTGACCGTCATGCCTTTCACTGGAGATGTCCAGAAAATGCACGTGCATCTGGACCAGTGCTTCTTAACCTGGGTTCGATAGAACCCTAGGGGTTCGGTGAATCAGTCACAGGGGTTCGACGGAGCGTCTGCAATGCAGGTTAAGACACACCCAATTCAACATGTCAATTAGATATGACACGCCCACTTGGCCATCACTGGCTGCAGATGATCACATTACATTGCTTGTCCAATCAGTGCTGCAGGAAATTTGGTTCGCTCAGTTATCGAAGTGTGACTGTCGCGATAGTACGTCATGCTCGGTTCATTTTGTGCACAATTAAAAAAAAACTTATACTTATGTCTAGAAATTCAATTGACTTTTTTCAGTTTTTAATAAATGCGTTTTTATGTGTTGAATTTATAAAAGATCTTATTTTTCTATTTTTTACTCATGAAGGGTTCGATGAATGTGCATATGAACTGGTTGGGTTCAGTACTTCTAACGAGGTAAAGAACCACTGATCTGGACCAACATATTCCTTGCTCAAAGCCTTCCGACCAAAGCTTGGCTGGAGCTAACAACTCAACTGGATGGTTCTTCTCAACCGGTAATGGGAGGATGACGTTATGGGCATTGGCAGCCATGCTTTTGGCATTTGTAGCAAAAGTTATTGATGATCCCCACACAGATATGGACATGAGAGGACATGACTCAGACACGACAGTCCATCGTGAATGCCATTGACTCACAAGAAGATCTTGATGGTCACCAAGGTCAGCATGATACTTGATAAGCAGTTCAAAGCCAGAACTTTATGTGAGGGTCAGTCTTGTCTAGCTGCCCGTTGAATTGTTTCCACAAAAAAGGTTATTGACACGAGTGATGACGAATCGATGCAGTGGGCGTTGCAGGGGAGTCAAGTGATAATTGTCAGGGTGATAAAGCACAAGGCAACTGATGGTAATGGAGCTACTGCTGGCAAGTCTGATGTCACAGCACCACATAGGAGGAAAACACACGGAAAATCACAGACAGCGAAAAAGCACAAGTCATCTCATCGCCTCTTGCATTGTAGAAGCAAATAATGACACACGAAAAGAGTTTTAACAGCTGAACCAGAGGCTCTGAAGGTCCTGTGCTGGAAAAAAAATCTTAGATTCTACACTTACATTTTTCTCAGTAGTATAAAAGTTCTATTAAGAGAAAGTTCAAAAGCAAGCATGTGCACCAAAGTGTCCCTGCAGAGGCCTGTGCGTGGACTTCCACTACCCCCATCACACCAAAGAGAAAAAATACAATAAAAAAGAGAAAAAAAACATTAATAATGAATAAAGAGAAAGAAAAGCCCAGCAAAGCTCCACCGATCACTTTATTTGAGGTTTAATTTGCATTTGGGATTCAAATACCCACAGTTGGCAATTAAGCGGTTCACGCCGACCAAAGCAGTCGGCAAGTGTCCCTTGAAAAGAGGCCTGGGGCTCAGTCAAAATGATCATAGGCCAGCGTAATGCGCCCCGAGTGGCGATGAAACGTAGCTCCATAAAGTGGGGGAAAAACGCACGGTAACCGTCGGATGCAAGAGAGTACCGCAGAGCTTCTTCAGTCCACACGAGACATCAATCCAAGAAAGCTTTTCATGTGTCTGCGTGCATTTGTACCTCAATTTGAAGAAGAACAAAATACATCCCAAATGATAAGACAAACAAAGACGGGCAGAGAAAACTTAAAGGCAAACATTTAAGCAGTAGACGGATTTTTACAACTTAAATTTGACAGAGTACTGTAGAAATAACACTGGATTTACAATTGTTTCATGACACATCTTGTCATTATTTCATGAGCTCTACACAAACATGGTCTGGGGCTTCAAATAAACAAT